CTCCGAGGAGCTGCATTCGCTGGTTCCCAGACTTCATGAGTTCAAGCGCCCTACGAGGCTGGCATCCCGCTCTCACCCCTTCACTGTCGAAACTCCTAAATGTAGCCGTCTCTTCTACTCTAATAGCTTCATGTCTCGCACCTCTCCCCTGTGGAACTCTCTTCCCTTCTCCTGTTTCCCTGTGAGCTATAATCTCCAGCTATTCAAGTGTAATGTCAATCGACATCTCCAGTTGCCTTAATCTATACTACCCTCATCCTTTCTTCTATCACTCCCTATCTGATCTTGCTATTTTCTGTAACCCCTTGCGTCCTAGTGGCTTCCCGCCTTGCTTGGGGTGAAATGCTTAAAAAAAAAAAAAAAAAAAAATGTAATGAACATTTCTTGGTCAGACCCACTTCCCAAAATTTGACCAATAGAACTGTATAGAGCATCCCTGCTTAATTTGATCCGAGATCTTTTAAGAACCCATAATATGCTAATATGCATATGTGTATATCTATGTATTATTGTCATTAAAGATATTCGAGAATAGATATATAAAATGTTAAATATATGTAATAAAACGCAAGCATGCGCAGTGGTGAATATGTTAAAAGGGAAAACGAATAATAAAAATAATAATAAAAGTTAATATCTTTCTTCATAATCTCGATGGCGTCCCTCAACTTATGCATTTATTTACTTCAACAGTTTCAAATACTTGCAGACATTGCCTCACTAATTAACTGCTTAAATCGGCCATGCGAAATCGTATACACTGCGCGGAATAGCATTAATCAGTACGTAGAAAAGTGTTCACATATGGCTATTAGAAACAAACTGATGTAATTAAAACATTTGAACACCAAGAGAAGCGTCCACCACAACTAAAATTCCAGCCTCCACCCTCATCCTACAGGACCACCCACGGGTTTAAGCACCCAAAAACACGATTCTGTAATATGGTTGTGATTGTCTAAGACTTGCATATGAATTACACATGCGCCTGGATACCTCCTTGTGCTTACGTATGCTTTTATTGTATGTCGGTGTGCATAATCCGGCCTGTGTAGACAGGTTGAGTAATAGAAACGGTATAAAAATATACAATTATTTGCATAAAGACGCACTTGTATTCGTGATCGACTACTTATTCAAGATTATAAATACAATCAATCATTTGTGGGGTGGCTACTGTCGTACCGATTGTCAGTCAGCTCGTCACGCAGGGCAATTCACTAGTTAGATCATCACCGGGTGCCCAACTGCTTTGAACTACATACCAAAAAAAAAGATAAGAGTTTTATTGAAACGCCATGGAACTATCAAGCCAAGTTTTGAGGATATTGATGCGACAGTGAGCTCGATTTTGAAAGAGTGCTCTATAATTAAGGCTCTGAACAAGGTTTACCTAAGCTTCATAAATGCATACCCAAAACTATATGGCTTAGTTCGTTGCATTTTGAGATACGATATCTATTTAGGTCTATATGGAAGACGTCTATGGTAAACCAGCATCCTTCTATATAAACCACATTTCTATTGCTGCTAGTTTTCTCTTCATTTGTAAAGAGATTGTCTAGCATTCACTGCCATATGAGAGATTACGTATTACTCAGCAGTTCAACACTCTTTTCTTGGTTTCTAGCGATTTTTTCCCCGTTTCTTAGTACTTTGTTTACCTTTTTGGAAAATATCTTTTTGCGCGTCCGGATTTTGGTGCCATATTTTCTATCCTCTGTCCAAACACATATTCAAGCTTCTGTACTTGTTTGATATTGGCAATCCCAATTCGAAATTCGGATCTTGGGCATTTTCTCTTGCTAACAGCATACATTCTGTTGTATGCAATCCCAGTTGGCTAGGCCAAAAACTTTCGCTATGGGGTACTCTACTTTACCCACGTGCGATTACATCTGAAAGCAAGAGTGAGTGAGATTATCATTTCTTATAGGCTTAAAGAGCGCTCCCTAGCGAGCGCTTTTGGCAGAGCCAAGTGGGATAACTCACACTGTCTTCCCCTTTTTGCTTAGAACTATTTAGAATTAATAATAGTAGCATAATTAGGTTTGGTCAGCTAACCTCTCTTTCGATCTAACACTAACTCCCTAGTTGGGGAAACTGTCTGGTTACATCCAGTGCCTCTAAAACAAACCTCTTACATTCTATCATCGCCGATCAGACCCCGAACTACCGCCAGTCACAATGAACGGAAGTCTCCTCGAGGAGGCACCGTGCCTCGTGAGGATACTGGGCATCAAACTCACACTTGACCTCAAGTGGAATGCCTATATACGATCCATCTCTAAAGATGCAGGTAAAATGATTGGTTCCCTGTACCGTACCAGTAAGTACCTGACTCCTCGCGCTATCCTCTAGTTTTATAAGAGCCAGATCAGACTGAAAATGGAGTACTGTTGCTATTTTGTCAGGAGCTGCCCAGACCTCACTTTCTAGCTCAAAAGCGTCCTTGTGGGAGAAAAATTATTTTCCACCCTCCAACCTCTCTCTCACGAGCGGGATGTGGTGAGTCTCTCGCTGCTCTATCGCTACTACCATGGAAAGTGCTCGGACGAACTGCCTTTCCTGGATCCACCAGATCCGACCTTCACGGCTAGGACCTGCCATACCACTTACATAGTAGCAAACCACCCACATTCTCTTCGTATCAGGCACCTCGAGACGGTGTAATGGTTAGAAAGCTTGTCTAGCTAGAACAGTTACGACTGGGTAGTGTTCGATCCTCATTGGGTGCCCCCTACTTTCGGCCTTGTGCCACATCTAAGCTAGGCTTAGAAAATCAATATTCTCTCCGTATCCCATCGGCGAGAAGTAATTTTCATTCAAACAGCTTCTTCCCGAGAACCACTGCTCTGTGGAACAGACTCCCAAGAGGATGTTTCCCTGATCACTACAATCTTAACCTGGTTAAGTCTAGAGTCAACCGTTACCTTTCCTTTCTTATTTATATGAACCACCCCTTACCTTAACCGTCTACTTCGAATGGACCCGGACTTTGTACACGGTGAACCTTACTATAAAAAAAAAATGAATAAATTAAATATGCCAAATGTGTACAAATGCCTCCAGCAAAAACAGTTTTTCAACTGTGCACTCTGTATCGAGCGTCCACAAAAGAATGCTGGGAACATTTGCACTCGGCTAATAGATTGCGTACACTGGCAAATACATCAAGTCATAAGTGTATTGAAGTATTATAATGACAGGTTCGCGGACCAAATCAAATATGTTTGATCAAGTCCAGGAAGATGTTTTTTATGTAAAAGACAAGTGAAGACATATGTATGTCGATTACTTTTATAGCTAGGTCTATATGATGAGGTCGCATTATTCTTTAGTTGTGTATAGCTGTTACTAAAGTAAACAGGATCTCTGTGGCATCTGTTCAAATATAAATTGTTGTATATAGTCTGCCAGTGCATAAAAGTATATTATGAGATTTGTGTCACAAGTATATGAGCTGCAACAAATAAAAATCAAAGAAAAAAGCAACTAAAATTACAAGCAAACGCGGATGTACGAGATTAATTCGTCTCGTATACTCGCGTAATAAGAATTCGCGATAAACGAATAGCATAATCAACGAGAATAATTGCAGTAACTCACTTTCCTGTCAGAACTGGTTTTATAACATATATTGTTTTATAAACTACTTAATATATATATATATATATATATATATATATATATAAACTATTTTATAAACTAGTTATATATATATATATATATATATATATATATATATATATATATATATATATATATATATGAATTATTCACAAAAAAACTAATGCAAAGGTTAATGATTTAAATGGCGAGACATTCATCATCGCAAACAATTCAAATAATATACAAAACCTCCGTATCCGTTATGAATGAAATGATCCCTGTTTATATAAATTTCTGCCGTATTAGGTCTTATTTTTTACCTAAGCTTTCGTCTGTTCCTACAGACATCTTCAGGTATAGAATAGATGTTGTTCTTGTTTTTTCTCTTAGTAATAAGAGGACAACGAAAATATATGTATTGTTGTATCCGAAAATGCTATTGAAAATAAGTTACTGTTTAGGAACAGACGAAAGCTTGCAGTAAAAATAAGACCTAATACGGCAGAAATTTATATAAACAGGGATCATTTCATTCATAACGGATACGGAGGTTTTTGTATATTATTTGAATTGTTTGCGATGATGGATGTCTCGCCATTTAAATCATTAACCTTTGCATTAGTTTTTGTGTGAATAATCATGTATTTGTAAATTGATTGCAATGTTTATCGTATATATATATATATATATATATATATATATATATACGAAAATTTTAAAAGACGAACTACTACCTAGGGTTTTACCTAAACAGATCTTCAGGGTAAGCTGAAAAATCCGCTTAGGTGAAACTTAGGTAGGTAGTTCCGGTTTTTACGATTTTTAATATTCTGCTCTACTTCGTGTATTGAGCACTTTACGTTTTACCTTAGTTACGCGATTGTTTCTTTTTTTTTTTTTTTTTTTTTTTTTGAGCTGGAATTTAAGGTACTGGATGATTTTTCACTCTGCTCGGATCTTCCTATTTCATTCTTTTTTCCCAATTTTTTTTCCCCAGGTACCAATTTGTTTCGATATATTTATATTTGCGAATTGCGTTATCTGGGCTTTTTTCACCAACCAATTATAGTTACTATATATATATATATATATATATATATATATATATATATATATATATATATATATATATATATATATATATATATATATATATAGTATTTGGCGAACTGCAATCTTCTTTGTTATATATCTATATTAAAATTTTTATGATAGGATGTCCAATGTTGACCTTCTCGCGAAATGCACCATTAGACAAAGTTTTTAAGGGAAGTAGTCTTTGTAATTACAGTATATAGTATGAAGAGATAAAGCATTAATAATGATAAATAATTAAGTTTGTTCACATGAATGTTTCCACTTGTCAAGATATATATATATATACACACAGAGAGAGAGAGAGAGAGAAAGATAGATAGATAGATAGATAGATAGATAGATAGATAGATAGATGGCGCCAGATAGCAGTGCCTTTGTTATAAATGTCAGGCTGCGATGTGTAAATTGTCACCATCTTATATTTTTTTATTTCGTGGGCACCTCGACGTGGTGTAATGGTTAGCAATCTTGTTTCGCTAGAACAGTTGCGACTTAGTAGTGAGTTCGATCCTCACTGGGTGCCCCATACTTTCTGGGACACGTAATGAGAAAGTAGGGCTTGGAGAATCTGATACTCACAGGTCAAAGAGAGACAAGGAAAAGCAACGCATGGCATACCTGGCAGGCTTAAGCAATTGGATGACAGAACATGGCCTGGGGGAAGTAACAAAGAGACAAAACTTATTGAGAGCTACAAGGGATAGGGGGGGAAGTGGAGAGCCACGATCGCCTACGACCTGAAGAGACACAGCACATGAAAGAAGGAACATAAAATATATACGCGCTTTTTTTTTTTTTTTTAAATGCCATGCCCCCTTCAGAAGCCAGGGGGATCATGGTTCTCCACAAATTTCTTTTCTTTATTATTTATAAATTACTATGCCTCATTGGGGGACATAGTAAATTGATTTTCCGATGTTTTCTCCACGCTGAAATTTAGAGTCCATTTTTACATTGGTTGCCACAGAAACCAACTCTCCTCTGTTATTTAACTCATAATGACTCGTAATGTCTCTAAAGTACGTTTACATTATCATCTTTATTGTTTTGCTTTAATACAAATTCTGTTTCTCAACCGTAACTTTGTACCCATTTCTAATGCCACTTTTATCTTAAAAATGCTTACAGATATTTGAGCTGATTAACGCTCATTTATTCACAGACATCCCTTTTATATTCTTTTAACTACAGTAAATAATATAAGCTCTTTTGAGATAACTTTCTATTGGAGCTCTCAAAGGTAGTACATTTTTTTATTACTAGATGAATCTGAAAAACTATATGATAGATTAGCAAATTGAAGTAAGGGGCACGTATTATATCTTACTAATACAGGCAGATCCGTACAAAACCTATTACTTCAAGTGTCCGTACCTAACCAGGTAGATCGATTCAGGTTCTTGCATGTAGATTATTAATCAGTCTTCCAAAGCGCAATGTGTAGAATCAGGTGTGCGTCAGCGAATTATGACCAGAATCAAATGTATAAATTGACCGTTGCTATAAACACGATTGTAGTCAGGTGCGGTAAATAGCATAAAAAGCTCAGTTTTTTTCTTTCTTTCTTTTTTTGAAATTAAAAATAAAGAGGCGTCGATGTATTGATCCCAATGTTTACTGACGTTATTACCGGGCGAATATTGTGCTTAAAGGTGCAAGTCCTAAGGGAAGTGGATAACGTTCGCTGTAGTCCTTGGTTTCATGAACAAGAGAGTCGTAATATGCCTCTTCTGCAAGTTCGTAAGAGGCGATATGAAAACGAACGGATCTACGTGGAGTGTAGCACATAGTTGCATTTCATTGTTCTGAAGTCATCTATGCGTAAAGGTGGCTCACAGCAGACTCCTCAGGTAGTAAGTTATAATTAAATATATATATATATATATATATATATATATATATTAAAAATATTTAGTTTTATATAGGAGCTGTAAAGTAGAAGTCAGATGCAATCTTTGGCGAAATCTAAACCGCCCAAAATATCCTATTTCAAACAACCTTATTGAAGGGCACGTGACCGAGCGGTTAAAATGTTCGTTTTCTGACCATGTGAACCGGGTTCGAATCTCACCATGGTTGATTTGTCAGGAAGGTGACTTCTTGATGTTATCGGTCCGGAGAGGCGATCCCAGCGTCCGGCACGTTTGGAAAGTGACTGTAAACCATACCACAGGTTGATCCAAACCTAGTGAGGGAAAATGGGTAGACCGAAGTCTTTGGGAGCCGTCGATAGTTGTGCTAGCACAAAGTCACAAGTCATCGTGACAGATGGTTTGAGCATGCTGGCCTTGTTCAAACTGTTTATCACGCTAGATATAAAAAAAAACAAGTGGGCTCTGTGGGTGTTGAACAAACACGAATGTGCCTGAACAGGCGTCTGAAACAGGGATTAGCTAGCTGTCTTAGGATACGAGTGGCTGCGCCATTCACATTTATTGAAACAGCATGTTCACTTTTCTTCATTACTTAAGCAAATTAACATTCTATAATAATAATATAATATTCAACTAGACTCATTGTGGTTCCAAGATAACGCCATGTTAATTCATCATATGTTATGTAATGTTTGGCTGCTTGTTTTCGAGTATGCTCTTCTCCTGAAGTGGCTAGCTTATCCCTATGACAGGCGCCTGTTCAGGCACATTTAATGTTTCTTCAACGATACTGAGACTGTGGTTAAAACTGCAACAATGATGAGCTGACCTTACTTACAGTATCTGGGAGAGAACGCATAACCTGGTAGGATCAGCAGCTAAACAAAGCCAGTACACTAATTCTCTCGGTCATGATGGCCTGTGACTTTGTGCTAGCGCAACCATTCCAGTTTCGTCTACTCACTTTCACTCACAAGGCTTGAGCCTATCCATAGCATCATTTGCAGGCACTCCTCAACATAGCCGCATAAGCTGATACTATTAAGAAGTGACCACCCTGACAAATCGTCCATGGTGAAATTCGAACCCGTGTTTCACGGTCGGAATGCTAACTTTCTAACCACATGCATAAATTTGCTCAAATTAACTAATATTAAATATTAATCCATTTTGTATCTCTAACTTTTATTAATAACAGAAACAGTATTATTAATCAAATATATCATACCATTAGAATTCTATTGTTTCTGTCAGGTCTTTATTACAGTACTTCGGTCGTTAGTATTATAGTATAATATCTTCAGTATTCTTTGGAAGTCTGTTGTATCCAATGATCTACCGGAAATACTTTATTCCAAGCTTTCACGATTAAAAATTGAGGCAGGCCACACTGATCACAGAATATTGAGTGAGATAGAAACATATATATATATATATATATATATATATATATATAGAAAGAGATAGAGGGACGTCGAGAAAAGAGCGCTTCTTTTTCTGCGGAGCGTTAAAAGATTTAATTAGATACAAAGACAGAGAAATATTCGTTGAATAAAGTCATGCTTCCACAAAACTGAATTCTTCGTATACGATCAGCCGCCGAATATATTCTGATGAGCAAAAAATTTACTAGTTTGAAAACCCGTCGGTGGCCATACTGAGTAGTCTCATAGACTACATGAGCCCCGCGAGCCGTATTTCGTGCAGTCCTGTTATATTTGATCAATGGAGGTATATTGTTCTCTATGGTGTCATAACTTTTCAGCTTGTGAAGAAGACTACAATGCCAGATCCTGTAAAAGGCTTTCGAGATGGCCAGTGCTACAGACCGGATTTCACCGTTTTTATCTAGAGCATGATAGACTCTTTCCGCAATTATCGTCAGTACATTAGCAGTTGATCTGAAGAAACGAAAGCAATATTGCTTGTATGAGAAAAGGTCCTATGATGAGAGATGATGAACTAATTCAACATTTATTACAGCCTCTAGGAGTTTTCCCAAAAGAGGCAGACGCCTAATAAGCCGATAGTTGGAAGGGTCGGACGGTTTACCAGAGTTCTTATAAATTGGAACAACAGACGATGACTTCCAGCAGACAGGAAAACAGGAAGCAGCGAGATGAAACTAGATTTATGGATTCTTTTTTTTTCTCTAATATGGCGTCGCCGATAGGATGTTTAAGATGAACCAGAATTTGTTGAGACTTCGGTGTTTTACAGCCCAGTCTAGAGCTAAAAATTAAAAGACAACCAGTCAAGAGGGTGAGAAAATTAAATAACTGACCTCTTTCTAGTTTCGTCGGGTTGTGAAGCTATAATAGATATTTCTGCTATGGCGTACCTCAAACAATTGGAGAAGTTGACTACTGATTGCGTGTCGTATAACAACGCAATACAACATTCTCATTTCTTTTACTAGCATTATTTCAGATCTAATGGCTAAACATTAATTGTAAGAAGACAGAATACATGGTTACCAGCAAAAGGAAAAGCCCAACATGTAAAGTCCAAAATGGGGATACTAAAATCCACAATTGAAATATCTGGGAAGTGTTTTAACAGAGGACGGAAAGTACGACACTAAAACCCTAAGGTGCATTGGGATAACGAAAGCTGCATAAGCATAGTATGAAGAAACAGGAAAATTTCATTAGAATCAAAGAAAAGAATACTGAACCGCTATGTAATATCGTCACTCCTCCTTCCGTACTCTGTTAAAACACTCCCTGCCATTCCATGCCTATTATCAACCCTGTGTCATCTGCTTATACTGTTAAGATTGTGGCCGTCAATAGTGAATTCTACCAGGATTCTCTCAGGGTCACATCACTGTAACGGTTGAATAAAAGTCCAATGAGAAGACACATTCTTTCTATACACGTTTAAAGAGTGGTCTAAAAATTCACGTAGTTGTGTCGAATTAACCACTATTCTCGCAGAGTAGGTTTATCGTTCATATATCATTATCATTCTTCTTCTTTTTCTTCTATGTGCAGTGTCCCTTTAGAATGTGCATGATCATGCCTCTCCGCAACTTCCCATCCTTTATAGCTTTTAGCAATGCTTTTTTTTTATCCTTCCCACTCCTTGTTCCGCCAGCCATTTTCATAAGCTCGTTAGGTAGGCTATTCTCTGTTTCCCTCTGCACCTCTTGCCTTCAGTATATCCCGTGAGTATGAACTTCTCCAAGACCACGTTCCTCATTATGTATCCCAGAAATTTCAAATGTCTACTTATGATCCTAAACACATGTTTCCTATTCGTTCCTTTTTTTGTTAAATTTTCTCGTTGACCCCATATTCCTTCTATTTTATCAACATCATCCTTCGGTAGAACCACATTTCTGTTGCCTCAAGCATTCCCTTCATCTGTGAGGAAATTGCCCAGCATTCACTTCCATATAAGAGGATTGGTATTCCATAGCAGTTAAGCAATATTTTCTATTGTTTCTAACAAAGTTTTCCTGTTTCTTAGTACTTTGATTAGTTTTTGGAAAGCATCTTTTGCTATTCCTCCGCACATTACTGAACTCGATCTGTTTGTTTGACCTCCGTCTGTATAATCCCTTCTTCATTGCTTATTCACTCCCTGCATAATATTCTCAGCACCTTTCCGTAGAAGTAAATTTCTCTTGCTTCAAGTCTTCACTTCCTCTGTGATTCGGTTGCTTAGTTGGAAAATAAAACAATTTATGCATCAATTACACAACCATTAATTCTTATGTTCCCTTTTCAAGGTAATTCACCTGTCGAATAATTTTACTTGAAATTTCTCAAGTTATTTGAAATCTCTTGGAGAAGCATTTGGTATATTGCATTTGGTATATTGCATTTGGTATATTGCATCAGTTAATTTGCTTATCTAACAATGTATTTGTTCCTCAATGGTTTAAGATTGATTCGTTTGTTTTACGACTTGGCAGTATTTTGTGGTTTATTTAAAACCGAAACGTATTTTAGATTGTAAGAATAATTTTATTTTTTTTTTTGCGAGTGAATACTGCATTAATTTTTTTGTTTTTTTTAAATAACAATGATTTTTCCAAATTGTTTTAATTGTTTCGCACCAAGCAAGGCGACAATGCCACTCAGATGCATGGGGAGACATGGAGTGAAAGAGAATGAGAAGTCTTTAGTGAACAGAAGTGAGGAAAAGGACAATAAAGGTGTACGATTCAAGAAGACAGAAGATGACGATCGACGTTGTATCAACATTTTTGAAGATTATAGATGGCAGGGAAACAAGAAATCGGAAGGGTTACATGTCCAGCTGTTTAACCCATAGCTAGGGGAAGAGAAGGATCCCTGGCTTTCCCAATGCTAATTACTCATAAGTGAATGCAATAAATCCTGACTGGAATTCGAACTCAAATCTCCGATTTCTCATTCCTAGTCCTCCCTGTGACACAGTAATCATAGCAGAAATTCAAATGGAATTACAAAATCTGCTACAGAAGGTAGCGAAGGAGAGTGAGAAAAAAGGACTAAGCATAAACTACAAGAAGACAGAATGCATAGTCATCAGTAAAAGGAAACAGTGATAAAAGCTACTGGGCTTGAGAAACCTATCCTTCTAAAAATTGTTTTAAGAGAAAGCTTTTATAAATTCCAACAGAAAGTAGCCCTGGCTGCTCGGTCAATGAATGCTGAATGTTTCCTTATAAGGAAACGGCTATTATCATCATTGCCATTACAATTAATTCAAGTGTCTATAATTAACCAATTAAATTGATCCAGCTGTTTGTGTGGAGATTATTAATCGGTCTTCTAGAACACAGCGCGTGTATTCAGGTAAACATCAAAGAATTATGAACGCAACCGAGTGTGTTCAAATGACAGTTGCTATAAACACGTGCGCTAAATAACATAAAACGCTAATAAATATTTTCTTCTTTTTTAATTGATCAATAAAATA